ATATCAAACAGATCCTTTCCAGATCGGAAGGAACCTGGAAACCTTTGTTTAATCATATCATATATTCCACCAGCGGATCTAAAGTCCTAAATTTAAGAAAAATTACATAGGAGAAGAAATGCATATATATTTATATATATACACACACATATTATTCAATTGCATAATGGTAATGATAATATAATAATAAGAGTAAGTTGAATATTAATTAATTATAACAACAATAATGATAATAACAAAAATATATGTATTAGTAAATATATATTCATAAAAAGCACGTTAAAACGACGAATTTGTTGGATTTAATAATAATACTTACCGGAATTCCACCAGAACATGATATTCCTGCGCCCGTAATTACTACGCATTTTTTAGATTGTTTTATAGTATTGAATGTTTCAAGAAGATGATTGTTGGTTTCTTGGAGGTTGATTTTAATTACCATTTTAAATGTACTATTTTTTCTTAATTAAAAAAAATTTTTTTCTTTAAAGAAATTTTGAGTAGAGAAAAATTAAGGAGAATTATTATCAACGTGTTCATATTAATATCGGGATTGCAGCATAAACGCGTAAAAAAACATTGGTGTAACTAACTTTTCAATGTCAAAAATGTCAAAAAAATCTGTTAAAAAAAAATAAATAATCAGTAATAACATTTACTGTAAATTATTTGATGAATTATTTTCTAAAATACGATCGATTTCTTTGGAGAAAGAAATCCTTTTTTTCTCTTTACCTCGAAGAAGCTTATGTAACAGTTTTTTTTGTTGTAGCGTCAGTAACAGGGGGTTTTTTTTGAAAAATATTAAAATTGAAATTTGAACTTTTTAAAATCCAAAAATGATAATAAAAATTTAAAAAGATTTTTTAATACTTTTTTTACAGTCATCACTTTATCAGTAATTTTAGCAGTCTCGTCAAATACATCACCATCAATTACATTAGCTTTTAATTCATTACTTGCTTGTTCATCTTTACCAATTACTCCACTACCTTCAGATGATGATGAAGGATCAATTGGTTGTCCAAAATAAATTTCTTGATCTTCACCTACAAATCTTTTATAAAAAAAAGTCATTAACTCAATCATTCTTCAATTGTGCTTATATATTTTACCTAATCAATCTATCCCATACTACTGCTTGTTTTGAATTAGTAGTAAACGTTGATGATGAAAATAGTCGACTTTC